TAGGGGGTGTGCAGGAGGCAGCTGGTCGATGTTTCTCTCTCACCGATGTTTCTAACTCTCTATCTCTCTCCCTTCCTCTCTGTAAAAAATCAATAAAATATATTTAAAAAAACAACAACTAAAACTTGTGAGGAATCACAAAAACAAAGTGGTAAAACACTATTATATAAAATAAGGCACCTTGATCTGCTTTCAAATGTTTGTGATATTAGTTTCTTTTATAGTTTAGACTGATATTACCTCTCCGAAGATCTGACTTATTTCAGGTGAAGTAATGAAATCTCCTTTTTCTCCTAGCATGTCACGGTGCACATAATATCCCTAAATAAAAAGAGAAAATGGAAAAAACAATTAATTTTCAAATAAGGCTATTTTTAAGACACCCCTCCAAAATCATACATAATGTATACAATGAAATAAACAATTACATAGTAAGAAAGTTCTCTCTTCTAAGTAATCAAGATAATCACAGTATCTTTACCTAAATTTTAGAAAGTGACAGTCATTTTGCAGAACTGGTAGAAAAGCAGGACACTCCACCCTCCTTCTCCCTCCCTGCTCCTAAAACCCTGCCCATCCCTCCAGCCTCCCCCCCACCCCCACAAATTCTCACACTTTCTGCTTCAAAGTAACCCTGCCTGTTGGCCATGGTGTTTCTTGACCTGGGTGCTGGTTCCATGGAGTGTTCATTTTGGGAACATTCATCAATCCTTCCTTCATAAGTAAGCACTGCAGGTGTATTTTTGGTGTGTGTTATGAACCCCTCGGTAGTATAATGAAGCTGGTGGACCCCTTCAGAGAATGTTTTTTAATGCACAGGACATAAAACACATAGGGTTACCGAAGAAAGCAAATGAAAAAGACTTAACACATATTTAAAAATAAATGTGTGATACAGTAATATATGTGCTTCTTGATAAATGTATTAAAAAAACAATATCAAGCCAAAGGGCTAATAAGTAAAGTTCTGAAGCACAGACGAGCAAATATTTTGAGATCACTCTGTCGTGATGTGACAGTATCAGTAATTTGCACTGATGCTAATTAAAGTCACAGGCATTACTGATGCTACTGGATGCTGCCTACGCTCATAGTTAGAAAATGCTAAATTTCAGTTAGACGTTAATTCAAATAACTGCCTTGCCTAAACCTCTGGACAATGGGCCACTCCACATCCAACAACAGGCCAAACCAACCCCAGAATTCCACAGATCTCATATTTCAACTCAGCAGAAGGTGGAACACTCTAAAATAAAAGTACTGGCTTTCACCAACTGGCTTTGCGGAGCAGACAAGGAAATATATAGGCCAGAAAGCTGTGACAATGTTTCATCCTAGAACAGTAAAGCCCCAGACCTTCCATTCTCAAGAAAAAAAATCCAGCCTTAACTGGTTTGGCTCAGTGGATAGAGCATCGGCCTGCGGACTAAAGAGTCCCGGGTTCGATTCTGGTCAAGGGCATGTACCTTGGTTTCTCTCTCATCGATGTTTCTAACTCTCTACCCTCTCCCTTCCTCTCCGTAAAAAAATCAATAAAATGTATTTAATAAAAAAGAAAAAAATGCAGAATATGCTCTATTTCCAGTCACCTGTAAACTTCACACATCGGACTGAACTCTTATCTTTCCCTCCCCTTCTACATTCCCTTTCCCCAGAGAAATGACCACCATCTACCATCAGCGCAGACAGAGGAGTCATCCATCCCTCATCTCATCCATCCAATCGCTTACACTGTCTCCCGAGCACCTCTGGGTCTGTCACCTGTGCAATGGCACTGCCGCTGACTCGATCCAGCCCTGACCGACTAGCATTCCTGGATGGTCCTCGGGTCCCGTGGGGCGGCTCTTCCCCGGGAAGGGACCCCGGCGGTCGGGGCTGAAGACGCTCGGGCTCCGGTCTGCGCCCACCCCTCCCGGCTCACACCTCGCAAATCCGCTAGCGTGGGCCTGGTCCTCGGGCTCCCCGACCCGCATACCTTAACTGGGTTGGTCAAGACCTCCTTCATGTACTCGGCCACAGTGATGGGGCCCGTCGACTTGATTTTGTACACAAGATGCTGCAGCATCGGAGTCGCCGGGCTGTTTTCTACCGGCTCTTTCTCGGAGCTGAAGTATCTTCCTCCCCAAAGGCAGGGACCGACTGCGAAAAACACATCATTAAGCGGGACCCATTAAAAAATCTTAGTATTTACACGTACACAGCACCCTGAGCCCCATTAAAAATCTTAGTATTTACACGTGCACGGCAGCCTGAGCGCTTTCAAAGTGGCTTCGTTAACCCGTAACCTCGCCCGAAGCTGAGAAAAGAGGACTCCTGTCCGCTGCACGCACACCAGGCACAGGCACACACTGTGCCCGCGACCCCGGGGTCGGAGCGGCCTGGCGCCGGCGTTTGCGAGGAGTATCATGCCGAACCTGCCCAGCAGCCGCGAGCCGCCCCGGGGTAGGGATCACGGTCCTTTCCGGGAGCGAACTCGGCCCTGCCGGAAGTGCGTCACCGGGCCAACCGGAAGGAACCTGCTCACGGGTCGCGCGTGCTTTGCTCACCATGGCGGCCGCCAAGAAACCTTTGGAGTTCCATGCCCAGCGGCCCTGGGTTCCTGACGGGAGGATAGAAGATTCGGACGAGGACGACGAGGAGGATAATGAAGCCGAGAATGGGTTCTCCATGGAGGAGGTGTTACGGCTTGGAGGCACCAAGGTAATGGCCTGGAACCCCCGGAGGAGGGGATCTGGGCGCGGGGAGTGGTCCCGCGCGTGGCCCCGGAGCTGCGGGGCGGGAGGGCGTGCTGGACCCGGTTCCCAGCTTCGGAAAGTGCTCTGTGCGCTCGGCACCACTTCTTTTCCGCTGCTCTTTACAAGATAAACTCGAATTGAGCGTTTTTATGCCGTCGCCTCAGCATGTACTAGCAGGCGACCCTCTCACTTTATTGACGAAATATAACGGCGCTCCATCGTCTCGGGAGGCGGACTTTCTGGTCCTGACCTCGCGGCCTCGGTGTTGTGAGCTCCCGAGGTGGTGGAGTTTCAGGTCCTCACCGAGTCCGGGCACAGGCTCACTGCGCACTCAGGAGCTCTGCGCCTTCTTGGAATTCACATCCTGACTCTGGGAAAGGGACAGCCCCCAAGCTTTTGAATACACAGTACGGAGAACAGTAAGACAGGGAAGGAGGACATGCACAGTGAGAGAGGGCGTCGGGCAACCCATCACTGCGATGCACGAGCAAAAACCTGAAAGGAAGAAAGGACTGAGCCACGTTTCATGAATAACGAAAATGTCAGTGTGGCTGAGGCCGAGCGCAGTAAGAAATGGGGAGAGGAGTAAGAAATGAGGTCAGAGAGGTAAGAGGGTGGGCTTTTACCCGGAGTTGGACGAAACCATTGGACAGCTTGGCTTACTTTTTGTTAAATGTTGTTTCGAGACTAGAATTGGGGTGAGGGGGTGGAATAGAGGAGGAGAAAGGCACCTTACAGGAGCGGATTCATCGTTTGTTCTGTGCTTTGCTCTGTGCTCGAGTTGTATTTGGTTTTTAAGTGTGTAATAGATGCACGTGCTACAAAAGGGTTAGTTTGTTCTGTTTTTTAAGGAAGGGATTCATGGTGGAGTCTTTTTTCCCACTTCTAGCTCCAGTCATGCAATTTACCTTCCAGGAAGCAATATTTTTGTAATTCTTTTTTGTATCTTCCAAGGAAATAGATATGCATGTACATTATTTTTTACATAAAAGGCACTGTATTATATCTATATGTAATATTTTGCATCCGTTTTTTCTTACTACCTATAAGATCCTTCCATATCAGAATGTAAAGTTCAGTGTCATTGCTTTAATGTCTGCATAAATTATTGTGTCTGTTTTAATTTTCTGTCAGTTTTTGTGGATACTTACATTGTCAATATTTTGCTATTTTAATGCTTCAGTATGCAACCATGATTACCTATTTCCATATTTGTAAGTGTACGTGTAATCAAAATTTGTGGAAACAGAACTGCTGGGTCAAAGGAAGTGTGCTTCTGTGTATTTTGATTGAAGGTGGCAAATTGCCCTTCTTAGAGGTTGTGCCAGTTTACACTCCCATCAGCCATGTAGGAAAGTGACCCCCCCCCTTTCCCTAACAACACCTGTCATGATTTTATCTTTGCTCTGACAGATTAAAAAATGGATGCATTATTGTGGTTTTAATTTTGAATTTCTCTAAATGTTAGTGAGGTTGAGCATCTTTTTATATTTTAAAAAAACCACTCTCCTCATCCCCCATGAAATGTTTGTTTATATCCTTTGCACGTATTTCTATTGGGTTATTTGTTACTTCCATAACTGATGTGCAGCAACTTTTATATTAATCATTAAGCCCAGTTGCTGTGATACGAGTTGCCAGTGTTTTTTTGTGTATGAGAGAATGATAAATTTACCCATTCATTTCTTTATGGGCCCTAATGTCAAATTTGAAAAGGTTTTCCCTACTCTGGAATTTTTTTAAAATTATGTTGTGTTTTTTTTCTATTATTTTTTGTTTCTATTTTTTACATTTAAATCTTTGATCTGTCAAGTATTTACTTTGGTGTAGGTTGAGAGCCCAGGCAATACCATGACACTTTGATTTCAAAGACACAGGTTCACATTAACTTTTGAAGTTTTAACTAAACTGTTGGATTTATAATTTATTTTTAACTTTATGTTTTTATGCAGCAAGATTACCTTATGCTGGCTGCTTTGGATGAGAATGAGGAAGTTGTGGATGGAGGCAAAAAAGGAGCAATTGATGACCTTCAGCAAGGTGAATTGGAAGCATTTATTCAAAATCTGAGCTTGGCCAAGTATGCAAAATCTTTCATAATTGCAGAAGATGAACCGCCCAACAAAGAAGATGCCAACAAAAAAGCAAGCGTGTCTAAATTAGATAATAAAAAGCAAAATGCCGCAGAAAATGAAAGGACATCAGTCAGTAAGGTGAAAAATAAGAAGAGACCAGAACAACATTCTGATGAGAACAATAGTCCTGTACCAAAAATAAAGAAAGATAAACAACAGGACATCTTTGAATTTGTTGAGAGACCGGCGTTGTTACTGAAGCCTGGAGGCAAATGGTATGATCTGGAGTATAGCAATGAATATTCTTTGGAACCCCAGCCTCGGGATGTTGTGTCTAAGTACAAAACTTTGGCTCAGAAGTTGTATGAGCATGAAATTAATTTATTCAAAAATAAAACGAATAATCAAAAGGGCGCCTCTTCTACCTGGATGAAGGCAATTGTGTCATCAGGGACCTTAGGAGACAGGATGGCAGCTATGATTCTTCTTATTCAGGATGATGCTGTTCACACACTCCAGTTTGTAGAAACTCTGGTAAACCTTGTGAAAAAGAAGGGCAGCAAACAGCAGTGCCTCATGGCTTTGGATACTTTCAAAGAATTACTCATTACAGACCTCTTGCCAGACAGTCGGAAACTGCGGATTTTCAGCCAGCATCCTTTCAACAAACTGGAACAGTTGTCCAGTGGCAACAGGGACTCAAGAGACCGAAGGCTGATCTTATGGTATTTTGAACACCAGCTGAAACACTTAGTGGCTGAATTTGTGCAAGTCTTAGAAACTTTAAGTCATGATTCCTTGGTAGCCACCAAAACTCGAGCCCTTTCGGTGGCTCATGAGCTTCTTTGTAACAAACCTGAGGAAGAAAAAGCTCTTCTTGTGCAAGTGGTAAACAAACTGGGAGATCCTCAGAACAGAATAGCCACAAAAGCCTCCCATCTGTTAGAGACATTGCTTTGTAAACACCCCAATATGAAAGGCGTTGTGTGTGGTGAAGTTGAAAGGCTGCTCTTTCGCTCAAATATCAGCTCCAAAGCACAATATTATGCAATTTGCTTTTTAAATCAAATGGTCCTCTCCCATGAAGAAAGTGAACTGGCTAACAAATTAATAACTCTTTATTTTTGTTTTTTTCGGTCTTGTATCAAGAAAAAAGATATTGAATCAAAAATGCTTAGTGCCCTTTTAACAGGAGTGAACAGGGCCTACCCTTACGCCCAAACTGGTGATGACAAAGTGAGGGAGCAGGTTGATACGCTGTTTAAAGTGTTACACGTTGTGAATTTTAATACCAGTGTGCAAGCTTTAATGTTGCTTTTCCAAGTAATGAATTCTCAGCAGACAATATCGAATCGATATTATGCAGCATTATACAGGTAAGTACATACCCTGCCAATCTATGAATGAGGAATAGGTTATCTCACAGTACATGAAGTGCCCCTCTTGGGGGCAAGAGAAAGACTTACAGTACTGGATTTTAGGGCCCCCTCAGCAACTCTCTACTCACTAACTTGGAGTAAGTTCATCTTTGTTTTCCTGTTGGACAACTATGTGACATGCTTGAAAACAGTTTATTATTTTTTATTTTGAAAAGTTGTTAAAATACAGAAAAATACACAAAGCATCTAATACATACCAGCTAATATTTCAAATTTCACATTTTGCTGTATTTGTTTTAAATCTTTTGGGATATTAAAGAGATAGAACTACAGATGCAAGTTTCCCTCCCTGAGTCCCCCACCTGACCTTCAGTGTGGCTTATGTCCTGTATTTCCTTATCTGTCAGCCATTTAGTAATTCATTCAACAAGAATTTAGTGCCAACTATTTACTGGGTACTGTTCCAGGTGTTTAGGATATAGCATTCAACAAGAATTTAGTGCCAACTATTTGCTGGGTACTGTTCCAGGTGCTTAGGATACAGCATAGTGAACAAAATTCCCACCACTAGAGATGCTTACATTTATATTGGGGAAGTCAGGTGGTAAACAAGAAAATTTGTTAAGTAGGGGGAGGGTTGGTGGTTACAGTTTGGAATTTTTTTTAATAGTCGGATTAAGATTTTGTTTACCAGACTTTGCAGTTGACCTGCAATGCACCCATTGAGGGATGATCTTTTAAACAGTGTGGAAACACTTTGCAACTGTTTGAGTATACCAAAAAGTTTTGCATTTCCTTCTAATTCATTTTTATAATTTCACAATCGTACGTCTTGTGAGAAATGAAATGTAGTGTTTAACTCTTGGACATAAGCCACACTGTCTGGATTTGAGTTCCAGTCATTAGTTTGCTGTGTAGCTTTGGACAAATTATTTTATCCTCATTATAACCCTATTGATAAACATGATCGGTAGAAATGGTCCCATTTTACTGTGCCACAGTTTGTCTATAAAATGCCGCGAGAAACCTACCTCATAGCATTGTTATGAAGATTATGAACCTTTCCCAAGGTTACACAGCTAGAAAATGACAAAACTGGGAGTTTGGTAAGATTAGTGAGTTAATGTATGTTATTCCATGTAATCTTCATGTGTATATGTTAAGCACTTAACAGAGCCAGACATCTAGTAAGTTTTTATTTCTGTTACTAGTGGGGGA